ATTGAGCTATGTAGACATACATGGGACTGAAATTCAAAACTTAGATACATGAGAGTGGTGTCATATATATAATAGCCAAACGTCACCAAATTTACATATACAGAACTTACAAAACATGTTCAAACAAAACATAAAAAGTACAAAATCCCAAAGACTTGCTTTTCATAACTTGATCTGATCTCAAAAGGGAAACTCCTCGGGAGGCACAGTGGTTAGCTGACACAAAACACCAGGCAACAGCTTAAGCCTGGTCACGCGCCTGCTTACCTACATACATAATATAAATAGTGAGAGGAAGCCTAGTGAATAATAACAAAGTAAAGGATTTAACTAAATGATGTCCCATATAAGATTCAGAAAACAGACTCCACATTAGAAACAGATTCATATTTATATTCTTATTCAAATCATATTCAGAAATCTGAGTGCATACTTATTCATACATGGTACATCCATTAGCACTGACAGATCAAATACAAAGCATAAAGAGTTTTGCTTGCCAGTTCCATTAAAGAACCTCCGATACCGGGAACTTGTAACATACTTGAGCCACAGTATTGTTACCCCCAGGCGAGGGCCATGAAACCATGGTATTATTACCCTTAGGCAAGGGCCTTCTGCTCATAGACCACGGTATTGTTACCCCTGGGCAAGGGCCTTGTGCTAAAGATGTCACAAGTACTTGTCAGAAATTGGATAATCATTCATTGTACAGAATATAACATTTCCCAAAACATATCTTATTTCATCATACAGAAAATAAATAAAGTTGAACATAGTTTTACTAAGTTATTACTCACAAATAGCTTTAAAGCAAACAGACAAAACAGACAAATCAGCTATCTTGCGGCGCATGATCTACACAGATACAGAACGAATACGTACTGAATTATACACTCGGAATCAATAACTTAATTCTTTCTTATATTGGTTTGTTTCTACTTCTTATCCTCATTATTATGTCTTAACCATGGCCTAGGAATGCCTAGGATACAACGTGGATGCCAAAATGCTCTTTGAAACACTTGACAAAATTTGCTGAAAATAGGGCCTTCGCTCGAGCGCAACTTCCTTCCCTCGAGCAGTCTGTAAACTCTACAAAAGTACTGGTTGTGAATTTTTCGCTCGATGGTAGCTCGACAGTCGCTCAAGTGTGAGACTAAGGTCTTTGCTCCAGCGCAACTATTGACATTCGAGTGGTCTGCAAAAATTGTAAACTTCTGGGAGCATGCTTTTTACACTCGAGCTAACTTTTGGTCGCTCGAGTGGGAATGCCAAAGAAAGAGTGGTCGATCGAGCGCAGGTTCAGTCGCTCGAGCGGAAAGCAAAATTCTGGAATTTCCAGATTGCACTCCCAGGTTCAAAACTCGATTCAAAGCTTAAAATGCAACCTTTGGGCCTCTAAACTTAAGCAAACATGTCTAAACTTTGAAAATATTTATAATTCAAGATCATTTCATGAAATTAAGGCCCAAAAGCATGTCATTTGCTCAAAATCAAACTTGAATTGTATGTTTGTAGAACATGCATGAGTTGTTATGAATTCAACCTTCCAAAACATGATCAAGAAAGATAAAATAGCATGAAACTTGATGAATTCTCAAAACAAAGGTAAGATAGACACATGCATGAGAGACTTCTTGAAATTAAACTCAAATTGGAATGGAATTAGACATGTATGCATGGTATGATCTATACTCTTTCATTCTAGCTCAATTTCAACTTAATTCTCTTGTATTCATGAACTCACCAACTCAAAAGCAAGACCAAAGACTTAAACTCTTACCTTATACATTGGATTCACAAGTGCAGAGGCTTAAATTTCTAAACTCTCTTCAATTCTCCAACAATTCCTAGCAATTCACCCTTTCTTCCTTGTTGAACTCTCTCTCTCTCTCTCTCTCTCTCTCTCTCTCTCTCTCACACACACACACACACACACACACACACACACACACACACATGTTTGTAGCTCAAAAAGGATCAAATGAGAGTGTAAAATGTATACAAGGGTGCACTAGTGCCTTATTTAGGCTTGGATTAAGGAATTCATTAATTAGACTTAATTGAGCATTAATCATTCTAATTATTTCGTTTCGAATCGAATTTCAATTAAACTTACCATAATATTCTAAAAATTCCAACTAACACATAATTTAAGTCAATTTCGTGATTGGATGCCGATGAGACTTTCAATTTGCAAAACAAACACAGAAACACTAACAGATATTCCTACAGCAGACATATATAAACACAAATAATGCAATGCGCACGGAATTAACTCAAGATTTCGTCTTAATTACTTATTAGGTATACTTAATCATGGCTTAATCATGGTTTAATAGTTAATTATGGATTGAGGTTGTTATAGCCATTGTGAGCATAATAAGAAAATGATAAATTATTATGTGGCCAAGCACATTGCTAAAGTCCTTGATTTTACTACTTGTACTTGGAGCATAATTTATGAATTTTGTTAAGATAATTATATGGATATTGAATAATATTGTATATAACTATTATAAGAGATGCCCTATATAGGACTTATACAGAATGTTAATCAAGCAACTATGGAAATAAGAAAACTTTTAAAATATGAAAATTTAACAAATATGAAAAATAATGTATTCTAGATGGGCTTTAATAGTCATGTTCAAACTCAAGTAGGTAAACTGTTCACCAAAAAAAAAAAAAAAAAAATCCTCGAGTAGGTAAACTAACTTGAGTTTTCAAGAACAAAACAAAAACAAATAAGAGTTTGTTGTGTACCACAAATGAAAGAGCATGCTAACGATGGATGAGAAGAATTGTTACTTAAAAGGCAACCCGAGAGGGGGGGGGGGGGGAATTGAGTATGATATAAATAAATTAGAACCTGCAGAAGCATGGTGTGTCCCTAGAGATGCTTGGTGAACTGAACTTGCAATGGAAGATAAATTGCTGCGACGTAGTCCTTCAGCAGCAATGATGCATAACTGAATTAAAAGGAATACCCCCAGTATTTGGTATCTGCATCGCAGGACAATTGAGTTTTGATCATCTCTTTGATAAATCATGATAAACAAAACTGATCGGACTCTTGGGATGATTTATACCACCTAAACCAAACCAAGCCTTAATTCCCATCAAATGGGGTCGGCTACATGAATCTTTCTTCTCCACGCAGCTCTATCAAAGGCCATATGATTTATACCACCTAAAAATAAAATAACAGGCTGTTGTTGCCCATCAAGATTGCTAGATTCTCCAGTTCCAGCACAAAAAACTAACATTACATGGTCAATTAGTACATGGTATGCAGTAAATTATTGAAGTTTTTTTTTTTGTTTGTTGTGGTTGTTTTTAATTAGGGTTCCTATAAATAGGCCTATATGCAATACGTTTCGACTTAAATTTAGAAAATTTGATATATTGATTGGGATTGTGTTCCCTGTTTTTCTCCTTCTCCCCTATTCTTCTATTTCTACCGGTTCAATCTCTCCTCTTCTTCTTTTTCTGATCTTTCTCCGTACTGGATCTGGAGCTACATGACTATGAAATTGTGAAAAGGCATGGAAGGTCAATGTAATTACACAAAAATGTAACTTTGAATCATCTGATTCAAGTTGAGGTGTCATATACTTGGATCATTTGATGGAGTTGGAGGTCATCATATAAAAGCACAAAATATCAAACCACGAAGTTAACATTTATGGATCATTCTTTGACAAATTCTTATGAAAAAAATGATTTGACGCAATTAGTTATACTTCCATTCGGAAAGAAATTTACCTAGGTCTTTGGTTCATTTGTTTTCCAATGAACACGTAACGAATGCCTGCTGCACGTTTTGATATATGATAATATAGGCCTGCAGAAGAGAGCATTTATAAACAACCAGTATTTTCCCCCAAATTTCAATTTGAAATTCCATTATGAAGATGTGTCCATTTGCAAAACATAGGCATCACCTTCAAAGTAGAAGAACATGAGGTTAGTGCGAAGAACCAATTGCAAAAATTCGCGGGCTAAGGGAAGCATCTGAATTTGCCACGCCATAGAAATGTTAGCTAAGAAAATCATATAACTCATCATCAGACAGTGAGAAAGGTAACAAAGTAGTCTTGAATCAAAAGAGAGAGAGCCAAAAGAAAATTGGGGAAGAAAAGAGGAAAAAAACTGAGGTTATTCAGCAGAGGGACCATACAAATATTAGATTAAAAAGAAAGACTGTCTGCTCAATGACGTTTGGATTAAAATTTTGGAAAAGGATCAACTGATAGCTCATAATTAACAAGAAACAAATCAATTCGATTTCTAAGGCTAAAGTGAGCAATATATGTTTACCGAGGGCCATGTCCGAATTGCATATAGCCATAGCCCACTAATTTTTTGTTTCAACCTCGACAAAACCGAAACATTTGCTCCTGATGCAGGGGCAGATGGGATTGTAGCAACTGCGGATGATTGAACTTGACTACTCCCAGGAGCATCGTTGCCATACAGATGATCAGACAGTGAATCAGTGAGGGAACTGCCACGAGAAGCAATTCTCGAACTGTAAATGAGACAAATAACAAAATTATAGGGGGGTATTTGGTAACAGTTACGACTTCAATGAAGTTCAGAAGTATTTAAAAAGATGTGAAAGAAAAAACATAATTGAACCTAATTCTTTCTGCAATGTAAGGAACTGCTGTGTGGTAGACAATGAATAGGGCACGCCTAGCAGGTGTTGGAGGAAGTCCATATGATCCAGAAACCTGTAAAATCAAATAGTAGAAAACAAATTGAGTGGTACACTTTCCAGACATGAACCCTCAACATCAGATAAAAACTCCAGAATTTTTTTTTAAGAAGCCAATACTAATGGAAACCCTAGGGGAATTGCAAGCTAAAAAAAATTGTTATGTTTGCAAATGTTATCACATAATGGTGCTGAAGACAAAGGAATATCACCTTTTTCTCTGACAGTATTTCACATTTGTAACATGCATACATAAAATATACATTTACACATGTTCATTTATACATATATTTTCATTAAAAAATAATAATTAATTAAAAGCTGATGCAACTGTTCTTACTTTACTTGAAGACCCAAGAAAAGAATAACAAATAAAGTAAAAAGTCTATACACCTGAGTGATGTCACAATATTCTTCTCCAAGTGTTTGTTGCCCCGAACCTGTTGTTAATATATAATAAAGCATTTGTCCCAAAAGTTTTGTCTGCAAAACAGTAAGACGCAGAGGCAACATTTGCAAATCAAAATTCACTTACAAATCCAAATCCAATAGCAATGACTTCGCAAGCAAACAATTACAACATGGAAGCACACCATGTCTGACATATATAGTCTCTAGTGAATTCTATAAAGGAACTCATGTTTAAAAGATGATTTTCTGTTCTTTTCTTTTTCCCAGCTGTGTACAGGTGCAAAAAAATGCACCCCTTGTAAAGAAACACATGTTTAAAAAGTGCTTTATTTTCCCCCTACCCACAATGTAATAAGCATGAACCAAGGTATCACCCTTATTCAAGCTAACAATCAGCAGTCTAATGTCTATAGGAACAAAACAAACAACAAGAATATCAAAACCTATGTTACTTGGAAGTTGGAACCTGGATCGTTCTAGTACATGGAATGGAACAGGAACATGATACACCACATACTCTAAAATGTGATAACATAGGGGTAGATTTGTCTAGATTATACTACTAGAATTTAAGGTACACATCGAGCAATTTTCTTTTATCAATTAGACACCCAATTAAATATTGTATATTTTTATCAAATCAATCCTGTAAAAACACATTTTTATGAGCATTATGACCTAATTTTTGCATTTCGCTATATCAATGCTTCACTCTCCTTCAATTTTAGTTCATTTTATTGATTTTCCTTCCTCCCAAGGAAACCTTGAGGTAACATATAGGGGAAAAAATTAGGAGAGTGGCGTACATTATATTAACACACAAGTAACAACTAAACTTTCCAATATATTGAACTTTTTCCAATATATTTGAAATAATACATAGCATAGTAACAATTGAAATTATAGTACTACCGTAGTGTACTCCACTCTCCAATATATAGCATAGTAACAATAGAAATGACAATAATACACAAGTAACAATTGAACTTTCTCTGCTATAGAATTGTGCAAATGGAATCCCGCAATTAAAAATGATTACTTATGCTATATTTCAAATAGCATGAAGCTTGGATTTTCAGCATTCTCAAAAACCCTTCACTGCAATTTAAATATACATAATAATAAGAATCAAAGGTAATGACTATTTCATGCAATTAAATAAATAAATAAAAGAACAGAGAAAGTAAAAAATAGATTAAGAGTTAGGAGAGGGCTTACCTCACTCTGATAAACTACGGCAACCCTTGTACCTGAAATAAGAAGCTTAAAATCATAAATTTGATAAATATGAGCAAAATGCAAGAGAATCATTTTTTTATGTTTCATCCAAAACTATCAATTTCATCTATTTAGTCCCTAAAGTGTTATCACTTCGGTTCATTTAGTCTGATTAGAAACGATTTCATTTAGTCTGATTAGAAACGATTGTACAAATTAGTAACCATTGAAGTTCTTAATTTAATGATATAAAAAAGGTCATTTCAAAATTTGAACAACAAATTAGTTTATGGGGGTGTTTGTTCAAAATAGTAAGAAAAATGAGTGCTTATGATTTAAATTACTCAAATTTTTAAATGACATTTTTATCCATCAAATCAAGCTTCAACAATTACTAATGTATACAATTATCTCCCAATTAGACTACATCAACTAAAATCAGAAATTTGGGGCTTATATATATGAAATTTATAGTTTAGGCATGAAACATACAAAAATTGTGACAATTTAGGATAAAACTGAAATTGAACTTACAAACATATAAATAAAAACATAAATAGGCAAACCCTAGAGTTGGGGGGAGGAAGAGAGGAGAGACCGAAGAGGTGGCGGAAGGCGTCACGACATCCATCGTATACGAAGGAGGCGTACTGCTCGTCTTTCTCTGCTGCTCTCATTATCTCCGGCTGCGCCGCCACCGGAAACCGCCGTACGCCACCTGATTCCGCCGTGCTGCTGCTACTGGGCCCAACCTCTTCACTGCTAGTATTGCTCCCGGCATCGCCCGAACCCGATGGCACTTTCCACTCCAGCCCCATCTCTCTCTCTCTCTCGCTCTCTAACAAATTTCTCTCTCTAGAAATGGAAGCTTCCACTCCGGGAGTGCAAGGGATTCAGACCAGATATAGACTCCTGACTGAGATATACGGAATTGGGACGCTGCTGTGTCGGAATCCGTTTGAATAATCTGAACGTTTATTGGAGTATATATCGAATTCACTTATTTTTATATTTATTTTGCTACTGGGACCAACCTCTTCACTGCTAGTATTGCTCCCGGCATCGCCCGAACCCGATGGCACTTTCCACTCCAGCCCCATCTCTCTCTCTCTCTCTCTCTCTCTCTCTCTCTAACAAATTTCTCTCTCTAGAAATGGAAGCTTCCACTCCGGGAGTGCAAGGGATTCAGACCAGATACAGACTCCTGACTGAGATATACGGAATTGGGACGCTGCTGTGTCGGAATCCGTTTGAATAATCTGAACGTTTATTAGAGTATATATCGAATTCACTTATTTTTATATTTATTTTAATATATCGAATTCATTTTTATATTTATTTTAATATTTTAAACCACAATATTATTTATTTTTCAATATATAAATATGAGTGGAGGAATAGATTAACATATCCGATTAATTTGATATTTGACAAGTATGTTTTACTTACTCTAAAATATAAACAATTTAGATTATCAAAACGAATTCTAAAATAAATTTATAAGACTACACAACAGTACCTATTGTACTAGTGCACAACCGACACCTCAAACTCGAGATATACATGCCTAAAAAGGGCTAGTTTTATTGCACCTCAAACTCGAGATATACATGCTTAAAAAGGGCTAGTTTTATTTATTTATTTGATCTATTTTGAGAAGATGGTTATAATTAATTTTTTGATTAAAAACTGATTATAAGCTGCTTATAAGTTGCTTTTTGTGAGAGAGGGAAGTAGGTTATATTCTGGGAAGTGAATTATAACCCACTTCTCAAAAGACCCCAAACGGTTTGAGTTTGGTGTTTGGCGAGTTTGTTTGTGGCTAAAATAGCCACAAAAGACAAAATAGGCTATTTTAGCCACAACAAACAAAACATTCTATAATCATTACACTTTTCTCTTACAAAGAAAGTCAAAAAAATCAAAAAGCCAAAAAGTCCTTCCCAAATCAAACTTTTTAGCCCAAGTTAAAATAGCAAAAAAGTCAAAAAGTCAACCCACTTCCCAAAAGGAGGGACCAAGTTTTGTTTTGTTTGAGTTTTTTTTATTAAGTTTTTTAAAAATTGAGTTTTTTTTTTTGTGTGTTTTTTTTTTATATTTAGTGAATATTTTTAAAATTTTAAGTATTTTTTTTACTTTTTTAGATGCTTCTTAGATATATTTAAAAAATACAAAATTTGTGAAAAAATATTTTAAAAAATTAATAAATACATAAAAATAAGAAAAATATACTGAATTCTTGTATTTTTTTATATTTTTGGTATTTAGTGAAATTTTAAAAGATTTTTTTCACAAAAATTATACTTTTATGTGTATTTATGTTAAGTGTGTCTAAAAATTTAAAAATTTCTTAAAATATTTTTTTAAAATCAGTAAAAATAAAAAAACACAAAAAATAAGAAAGTAAAATTTTCTGAAAAGTATTTTTGAAAAAACAAAAACAAGCAAAGTGATGATGTTGTAAAAGATAAGAAAAGTATATATATAAGTACACATATCACATTATGGGGTTGTTTGAGATATCCTAAATAAGTGTACTTTTTGTCTTTTTGGACTAAAAAATTGAGGAAAAAAATATGGATATTTGGGTTAACTTTTTTACTTTTTATGAAAAAATATGTAGTAAAAAATTGTATAAATTAATGTGTAGAAAAAAATTAAAATTGAGAATTGTGCAGCCGTAATTTTTTACTTTTGATGAATAATGATAAAACTTTTTTTAGAGTTTTAAAATTACTACTCTCAATCTTTATCCTTTATTTATTTATTTGTTATACTTTTTAAATTTTGAGTCAAAAATCTTCAAAATGTCAATTTTTAAAAAAGCTTTCTCAAAGCAAGATAAGCCAAATTTTTATTCCAAATATAAAACTTTATTAAATTTGACGTTTTTAAGTATATTTTTTTGGAACAAGAATTCTTTTTAAGATTACATAAATAAATTGACATTATTAAAAAAAAAAAGGCAAATTACGCTAACAGTCCCTATAGTTTGAGATTTATGTTACTTTAGTTCTTGACTTTTCAATTGTGACACATTTAACCCTGAATTTTGAATCTTGTTCCAAATAAGAACAATTGAAGATACCATTGTTTAATTTTAAGGGCAAAATCGTCAATTTAATAAAATATAAACTAATTTGACAAAAATAAATGTCAAAAAAGTATTTTTAATTTTTAAAAAATTACTTCTATTCACTAAAGATAAAATTATATAAAATTGATCAAAATTAATAAAAATTACATGCTTAATTTTACATGATCATCATCCAAACACATAATAAAAATTAATTTGATAAAAATAAATAAATGTCAAAAAATTTTATCAATTTTACATAATTTTATCTTTAGTGGATAGAAAGAATTTTAAAAAATTCAAAAATATTTTTTTGACATTTATTTTTATCAAACTAGTTTATATTTTAACAAATTGACTATTTTACCCTTGACAAATCTAATGATATCTTCAATTGTCCTTATTTGAAACAAAATTTAAAATTTAGGATCAAATATGTTATAATTAAAAAGTTAGGAGCTAAAATGACATAAGTCCCAAACTATAGGAACTATTAATATAATTTATCCAAAAAAAAAAACACAAAGAAATTCAAAAACAAACGGAATAAAAAAATCATAAAAGCCAACTCATGATTGCTGGTTAAAAGTACACAATGTGTCTAAAACTTACAAAATAAATAAAATAACATAATTATAAAAAAATATAAATTATTTTATTTTATCCCTACCCAAGTTGAAAGCTTGTAATTAATTTCAGTTCATAATAATTTGCTCAAAACATAAAAATGAGCAAACCTCTACATAAATTGTGAACATGGTAACAAACATAAAATTCAATTTAACAAATTATACAAACAGTGGAAGAAATTTATTTTTATCTTTAGAAAATCACCCCACACACAACCGACTATAAATCATAAAAATTGTTGGGAAAAAATAAATTAAAAGTTGTTCTTAAAATGAAAACGCCAAATCTTTTATTGTTCATTATTTGGTTAAAAGTTTCAACAATGATAGAGACTATTAATTTTGAAGCTCTAAAAAGATCACTAATGACACGGCACTCAATAAAAAAAGAAAAAAAATAAAACACCAAGGCCAAAATATCAAATCATTCCTGATAGGGTTACTGCCACATCATTAATGATAGCACTAATTAATACTCCCACTCACTTTTCTAAAAGTTTATGGCACTTGAGTTTCATGTTAATTAAAAGCTATAAATACTCGATGTGATTGGTTAAAAATTTATGGCATTTTGAGTTTTGTGTGAATTAAAAGCTATAAATATTTGATGTGATTGATAAGACAGTGAGCAACATAGTGAATATGAAATTAATTGATTATGTTCGAATGATGTGCACCATGAAGTAGTGGTGTGCTCCGTGAAGTGTGGTATTTTGAGAAGTTTGTAAAAATTTAATTTTTTATTTTTTTAGTTAAAAATTTTAATTTTTTGGATAATGATTTGGATAAAAAAAATTAGTTTTTTTATTAAAAAAGTCAAAAGTTAACTTTTTGTTAATTTGCCAAAGCAAGTCGAAAATGAGTCCAAATCCTCTCCAACCAATCTCTCTAGTCATTTTTCTTATTAAGGGCCAAGATTTGGCCATGTCACTTTGGAGAGGTTGGACGGCTCAGATCAGATTAGTTTTAAAAAAAATTGAAATTCATTTCATTTTTCTTAGCAGCAGAGGTTCCCTCTCATTCATTTTTTCCCTTCCTCTTCGAAGCTCTGGTAAACGACGATCGGCAAAGAATCCAAGTCAGCGACGAACATCAATGATCTCTCCCTCTCTCCCTTTGTCTTACTCCGTAGATTTCAGCCACCAATCTCTCCCTCTCTCTCACTCTGAAGATTTCTGAATTTTGTAAGAGTTACTCACATTTCATATATATATACATACATATATATAATCTATAATGTGGTTATGCAAGATCACTTTCTAAAACTGACATAGTTGTTATTAATTGGTTCCGAGTATTGAAGTATTAAATTGAAGGGAGAGAGATAGCTTTGTTATCCCAGATAGGCAACCCAAGAGGGGGGTGAATTGGGTTATTAAAAATTTTACAATATTAAAAATAACACAATATTCAGAATTTTAATAAATAAAAAAAAAGCAGAATACTCAGAATTTTGGAGCTCACAGAAATATTTTCTCTTCAAGTTCTTGATTTTTCTCCACATCCAACACTTCTATTTATAACAAAAATATACTCGTTGGACGCTCCTTGCTGACGTCATGGCTTACATAAGCACGCTTCTGACGTCATGGCTTACATAAGCACGCTTCTGACGTCATGGCTTACATAAGCACGCTTCTGACGTCATGGCTTACATAAGCACGCTTCTGACGTCATGGCTTACATAAGCACGCTCCTGATGTCATGGCTTACATAAGCACGCTCCTGATGTCATGGCTTACATAAGCACGCTCCTGATGTCATGGCTTACATAAGCACGCTCCTGATGTCATGGCTTACATAAGCACGCTCCTGATGTCATGGCTTACATAAGCACGCTCCTGATGTCATGGCTTACATAAGCACGCTCCTGATGTCATGGCTTACATAAGCACGCTCCTGATGTCATGGCTTACATAAGCACGCTCCTGATGTCATACCCGTTGGACGCTCCTTGCTGACGTCATGGCTTACATAAGCACGCTCCTGACGTCATGGCTTACATAAGCGCGCTCCTGATGTCATGGATTACATAAGCACACTCTTGATGTCATCGCTTACATAAGCACACTCCTTGATTTTGAATAGTCAGCAAAAGATAAAAAATAAGACTGATTTTTTCTTTTTATTTTTTCAAACATGGAGTCACCATTTTTGTAGACAATTTAATACAAAGTTCACAACTTTCAAACAAATAAATAATTTTCTCCATCTAGTTTATAATATATATATATATACACATATATATAACTCCATCTTTTTC